TTCAGAAATATATAAACCAAGCAAATATAGCCCTCATGAAACATTAGGGGGGTGGTTTGGCCCCTACGTGGAAGCCAACTTTTAAACACTTGGCCGTGAGAATTTAGTACCACACTGACAGAATACAGGGGGCACTTCTCCTTTTGCTGGTAAAGAGTATTTCTTAGTACTAATTGGCTACACATTACCACGCTTTAGCAAATGCAAAAAAATTGTTGAACATTAAATGAGCTGATGGACCTTACTTCAGAACCAAAACAAAAGTTGATGAATTTTCATCGATCAGCCTTCGGCAACTTGAAACAAAATTCTGGCCATTCACTGACTTTGCCAAGAACTAAGATTTTGGATTCACTGACTTTACCAAGAACAAAGATTCTCCCTTACCTTGAACTTTTTTTTTTATTAGACTTTTCCATAACTTAAGCAACCCCGTTCTATTTATAAAAAAGACAAACAAAATGCATTATTTTCACGTCTTGCATTGCAAAACCACAGTCCTGGACATGAATTACTTGATATATGCAAAGACCTGTTGCACAAGATTGTATCAGTGTACATGTTTAGGCTGATGGCCATATATTTGTAAGCATTGCACATTACAGCAGTTACTTTCAATTGTTGAAGGAGCCCGTGGATATTTATGATGACCAAAGTGAAACATACCACTGCATCAACTAATGGCACCGTCAATTTTAAGCTTCAATTTGTTAATTTAAATTTCTATTGCATGTATTGTCTTACTGTAAGAATCTGCCCTTCATTGAGGAAATCGAAATAGACAGCGATGAAGAACAACTTGAAAATGTGGAAGAGACACCCAGAGGAGACAGCAACGACGAACTAGTAATTGACAAGGTAAATATTTGTTTACTCATGAACATAAAACTATCAATGTTACAATCTGAGCAGCAGGCGAGCAATTCAATTTTCTCAGCTGGCCATTAGTCCAGGAGACAAACATCAGAACGGAAAATCTCCAATATGGAGGATGTAAATGTAAGAATTATTTGTCAAATTAGAAAAAAAATAAATTACTAATATCCTAGGAAGCTCGATCATGAACTCTCACTTTTATGAACATTGTATACCGGTATAGTAGGTATCAAATATTGTACATGAAGGTTTGAAAAGGAATACAAATAAGCGAAATTACAAATTTGCTTACATCTTTCAGGGTGAAATTACTGAAGATTCACCAGGGCAAGGCAATGTTCCAACCGAGGTACACAGACGGGTCAATGAAGTTCACTGTCCCGACGAAGTCTTGTCGTTCACCGATGAGCTATGGCAGTATGCACTAGATGACTTCAGTACAGCGTCTATTTCTTTAGCAACCAAACAGTCTGCCAGAGAATTTTATCAGTCTATTTTGCCACAGTCAAGCTTAAGTTTTCACTTTCAGTTTGTTAGAGCACCATTTATTTCATTGGAGTGTTCAGATCCTAGAGTAACCAAAGAGATCTTGAAGTGCAAAGTCTTGACT